TGACCAAAGCGCAAATGGGCTCCAATTCTAAACCACTACCAGAGTCCATGAATGTGGCGGATATTGTAAAAACTTTAATACCAAGCACACAAACAATATCGTCAGCTTTGGCGACAGCTGCAAAGACCACTGCCGAAGATGAAACGAAAAAGGCCGATAAGGCGAACACCACACAACCGAACAGCTCGGAGGTGTCAACAACCAACGCCGATAAATCATCTTCGAATAGTTTGAAAAATGTACCAATTGGCACCGTGCAGCCCAGATTCAAAGCTGGCGCAGACGCTAGCAATCAGCCATCAACATCAGCAGCTGCGGCAAATGCTGCCAGTACGGCGGTCGGCGGTCCGTTGGTGCGTGTCAACTCAAACTCTTCACTTTTCTCAGGTTCGGCTAAATCACGCATGGGCGGGGCTGGTCCCGGTCCAAGCGGACATGGCGCGAATAAGAAATTCAAAGATGACACACCCATTAAAATGTCCAACAATACTGCATTTCCGCGTCACGATGATCCAACGCAAATGGTGGAGGCACCGATCTTTCGGCCTACTGAGAAGGAGTTTGCCGATCCAATTGATTTCATTGAACGCATCACGCCCATTGCAGCGCGTTTCGGTATTTGTAAAATAATACCGCCGGCCACATTCAAACCCGAATGTCGCATATCGGACGAAATGCGTTTCACAGCATACAATCAGTACGTACATAAGATGCTTCATCGCTGGGGACCCAGCGCCAAAGAGCTAAGTGCAATTAAAAAATATCTAGCCACACAGAGCATCGTTATGAATCATCCACCATGGATTGGTGGCATGGAAGTTGATCTGCCGCGCCTCTATCATACAGTGCAGGAGCTGGGCGGTTTAAAGGAGGTGATTGAGAAGAAGAAATGGGCGCGTGTAGCCGAAGAGATGTGCATTCCGAAGTTAGCACAAGATCGTGTTACGAAACTTGATGATATATATTGCAAGTATTTGTTACCTTACGATACCTTATCGCCAGCGGAACGACAAAAGCTATTCGACGAAGTCGAAGCGGATTGGGCGAAACGTGAGGCGCGTGCACGACGTAATGCCGATCGTTTTGTGAACACCGAAAGTGTGTCGAATGAAGAAGACGATGTCTCCTCGGAGGACGATGAAGAATCCGAAGAGGAAGTGGACGGTGTGTCGATGGAGTGCATTGTGAAAGGGCGCAGCATGCCGCTTAGTCAATTTTATCGCATTGCACGCAATACAATGGCGCTGTGGTTCAAGAATACCGAGCCGATTGTTAATGAGGTCGAGGCTGAGTTTTGGCGTCATGTAGCCGTGCGTGACAGTCATGTTTGTGTGCATTCTGGTTCAATAGATTCCTCCGGTTGGGGTTATGGTTTCCCCAGTCCGGGACCAAAGAGCAAAGGTTCAAATTATGCGCGCCACCCGTGGAATCTTAAAGTGCTAACGAATAATCCCGGATCGGTATTGCGCTCGCTTGGTCCTGTAATGGGCGTAACAGTACCGACTCTGCATGTAGGCATGTTATTCTCTGCGTGCTGCTGGTACCGCGATCCACATGGGCTCTCCTGGATTGAATACTTACATACAGGCGCCTCAAAACTGTGGTACGGCATTCCAGATGACCAGAGCGCCAATTTCCGATCAGCACTTACTTCGCTCATTCCCACACACTGTCAGAACAAGACTATTTGGCTGCCTTGTGACACGGTTATGGTTCCACCGCACATGCTCACCGATCGCGGTGTGTCGTTATGTCGCATCGAACAGAAACCGGGCGAGTTTATTGTTGTATTTCCACGTGCCTACACATCGAGCTTGGCCACGGGCTATGTGGTGTCCGAGAGCGTTTACTTCGCCACAACATCGTGGCTGGATCTGGCTAAGGATGATTTTAGAGTAAGTAACCTATACAATTTTGTTGTTTGATTACAGTTTATATTAAGTTTGCCACGTAGTTTTAAATAACCAAAAGAAAACATCGCAGACCCTTTAAAATATATATGTAAATGATCAGCAAATGTCCGTCCGGCTGTATATACGCGAACCAGTCCCTAAGTTTTTAAGATATCGTCCTGAAAATTTGCACACGTCCTTTTTTCTCTAAGAGGCTGTACATTTGTCGGAACCATGTATATCGGACAACTATAGCATATAGTTGCCATACAAACTTAACAATCGGAATCAAGTACTTGTATGGAAAACTTTTTTATTTGACGATATATCTGCACAAAATTTGACATGGATTATTGTCCAAGGCAACGGTACAATCTCTGAAGAAATTATTCAGATCGGTCCACTATAGCATATAGTTGCCATACAAACAGATCGATCAAAATTCAGTGCTTGTATGGAATCTTTTGTATTTGTGAAGGGTATTACAGCTAGTTAACGTTTTTTCTTCTTTTATATAAAATAATTAATAAATATTAAAATTTGAATTAATAAAATATATTTATTTCTTGAAGGACATTCATGATAGCTGCGAACCAGCTATGTTCTCCTTGGAGCAACTACTTTTCGCATTGGGTTATGATCAGCGTGTGACCTCCGACACACTTCAGCAAATGCTGCCCATGCTGCAGGAAGTGTACGAGAAGGAGTTGGCCGCGCGCGAGCAGCTCAAGGTATAATATATATAAACAATATTTACTCTCTATATATGAAAAATAATATCACTGCTCTATTACAATCTTCAGGCTGCTGGCGTTACGTCCACGGAAAAGGTGGGCAATGAGAAAGGTTCCAAGGCTAAAAAACAGCAACCACCACACAAATCCATTGAAAGTGAGTGTGACTTGTGTCGCGCTAATTTGTATATCTCGATGGTGAAAACGGAGGAGGGCAATGTCTATTGCTTGCAACACGCATTAAAGAATTTAAATAACGGCAATATACAGGCGAAACAGTGCAAACTAATATACGCATACAATGTGGAAGATATTGAAAGCTTAATAAAAAATCTCAAAGATAAGATTCAACAGAAGCGGCATGCCGTTACGGGGAAGAAGTCCAAGTAGTATCGTGTGCGCCGTAAACGAAATCTTTGTAAATAAATGCAATACGTTGACGTAAATCCACGATTTTTACTCATACGCAATGTATATACATACATATATACACTTTAGAGTATAGCTATATATAATATATATATATATAGTATGTGTACACTTGTTTTCGAACTTATTTAAATGTCCGGGGCAAAATAAAATTTCGAATGGTAAATTGCAATTTTGAATGCTTTGACACATACACATACACTATATAGGTATACATATGTTCGCGCTTTATTTGATAGTATGTATTATTTGTGAAAGCTCGAAACGGTTTTAGAAACCACCAAAAATGTATGTTTGTATGTTGTGTATAAACATTTACTGATACACAGTTAAGTTTCATTTATATTTAACTATATATAAAGAAATATATATATGTATATGTTCTCTTGTGTATACATATGTGTATATATACATACAATATATGTATAAACTATTTGAACACAACCGACTTGTGTACTAATCAAATGTATGCATAATTTGTAGATTTAATCGCTAGAAAGTTGCAATTTCTAATTTAACATTTTGCTATGCAGTTAGAGTAGTGCAGCACACTGGTGTTTAGGCGATGCGTACTCACATACATACATAAATAGTGTGTGCAAATGAATTTTTATTTTTTTTTTTTATTTTTTTTTTTATTATTGTTTTTTTTGGACTAAAATTAATAAATGATAAATTGTATTTGATGTTAAGCAATGATAAATTTACGTGATGTATAAATAAATATCTTAGAATTTAAAGCAAAGGACGATAACAAGCAGGAAAATGCTAACAAGTAAAAATGAAAAAAAGAGAATTATAATAAAATTGCTGATTGAGCATAGTTTTTTTTTTGTTTGTGTACATGCAAGTAGTGCGCTTTTGTTGTATCCTTTTCTGAAATTGAATTAAAATTTTTTCTTAAGTAACTCCAATGAGAAAGTATTTGAAAAATAGTTTTTATTCTACTAAAGAGTAAATGTTTAATTTCTTTCTTTGTATATGTAATTGTAAGTTTCCTTTAAAACGTAAACATTTGCATTAGATGTTCAATGTATTCCACATGATGAAGTGCAACAATAAATATTTCATTAATACTAAACTGAAGTAATTTTTTATACTTTTAAATGGTATTACCATCATTTGATCTGATGGTTGTTGTTGTTGCTGTAGCGGAAAAATATTGCTGAAATAATGTTGAAGAATGTTGCAGCGCTAACAGTTCTTGGTCGAATAAAAATTCGGGCCCGTTTCGTGTTACGTAGACCCCGACTGTCGAGGGTAGTAATGGTTAATGGTATAATACAGCAGACGGTATAAATTCATGAAGTAATTGTAATTAAGGTAAAGTATTCCATAAATTCATTTATATTCTTTGTTGAAGTCTTATTTATATTGAGTCATCCCGTTATGAAGCTTAACTAATTAAATCCAAGTCATTGAATGAAACATTCTATCTGAAAAATTCTCTTGCAAATAAATGTGGTTATTTTTGAAAATATGTGTAGGAACAAACCTTTGAACATTCACTAAAGAATATTGAGAAAATTATTATCGAAATGTGATGATTGATAGTCATAAACCATATACCGCGTCGGTACATAATTTATTTTGTGAATAAGTGTGTTATGATTAACCACTTCTATAAATAATTTTGGGCAATGCCGCTGAGCTGGCAGTATTTAGATGTATAAAAGTCCGACTCTGTTCCAGTTCTAGTTGTTTTAGCAACAGAAAACATCTCAGAACTAATTTGGACGAAATTCGCATCTATTACGGTTACGTAGACTGTCGCGTGTAAAAAACGTAAACAATCGTGGGAATTGGCTTAAAACGTTGTAATTCGTAATTTATCAAAATTCAAGAGCATCATTAGAGCTACATACATAAAATATTCTGGCAGTGTAGAACGGCTAATAAATAATATGAAATAATAAATATATCTGCAAAATAATACACTTTTAAATACTTATAAATAATATGCTTCTACATTTATTAAACTATATAACGATTATAATGATAGCAGAAATTTTCGCCCGAAAAGCTGTGCTTTCTTCTCAAAAACTGGCGATTTGATGGGCGTATTGATTTTATAAAACGAGTTCATGGAATGCTTAATATATGTTTCGTACATTTCATTAAAGAAATTTTTTATGCCATCATCGTTTTTGTTGTCATGCACAATGATGAAACGAATTTGGCTGGCGGTGACAAATGCAGACACGAACCATTGATTAAATCTATCAATGGACTTGAGCTGCATATTAGGCGTTCTCCACTTGTGTTCATCTACTAGATCTAATGCGGCGTGCGCAATGAATTGGCTTAAGTGACGACTGTCTTCTTTCTGAAATAAATTAGTGTCTTTTGTGAAATATAGTGTTGGTAGGTGAAGCATAAACCGTCAACTACTTACACGCAGCTCTTTATTGACTGTGCTAAACTCCATTTCAAATATAGGATTATCATTGTGACCAACAATGACGAAGTAGAACGTTGACATGTTTATTTATGCGAAAATTCCAATTTGTTTATTCGTACAGATGACATACAAAACAATGTATTTTTCAGAAAAGTTAGTGATAAGATAGAGTTATCGATTAGATTATTTTATCAACGCTTATCATGAGCCATTGCCGTAGGCCAGCTTTCAACAAATTTTGTGGTTAAGTTGATGAAGAAAGAACTACACTAATTTATTTATTCAAGAATTTGAAAAATATTATTACGTTTAATTACTTTTTTTTGAAAATTAACGTAAAATATACTCGGCTATCGACTCTTCACTTATTTGCGGCATAGTCCAAGTTCCATCCATAAGTAACATATGAGTGTAAAACAGCTGTTCATAATGATTGTGAATGAAGAAAAGCGTTAGCTGGCGGTATTGTGAATTGAAGTGATCGAAAGAAGGAGAATAGGAAACAGCGTACAATTTTTGATTTAAACAAGCAGTTGTCAGCTTTTTTGAAAACACGTGCAAAATTTGTTAACAAATAGCATTTGTTCACTTTTAGATGACAGGAAATCAGTGACAGAGAGGTTTTAATACTGGTAGTGGAATTCTGCTACTTGATTTATAGACTGAACTGGCTGTATGTGAAACCAAGTGTAAGCGCAGATTGCATTGTTGCAGATCAATTTTGTAAATGTTGTTTAAGTTGTAATAGTATTAAATATTGTAGAAACGGTTTATATACTAATTTTTTTTTTTTCAAATTTGTAGTTGCTCATCTGTAACTGCACTAAGCAAACCACATATAATTTACAAATGCCTACAGCATTGCAATGCGCGGTGCGCCATCTTGAGGTCATGTTTACAATGTCATTAGGAATTCACATAATATTCATACAACAAAAACAAGAACCGTTGAGCACAAAAGCGGAAGAAGTTCAAATGTGGATATTTGAAATTCTATCTAAACAATGCTTTGAGTCAGAGCAGATCTGCTTAAAACTTTGCACTGAAGCTAGAATCTCTTTACAAAAAAAAAAAATTCTGAACAAGAACTTGATTTTGATCGATCAGTTTGTCTGGCAGCTACATATACTTGTATGCTATAGTGGTTCGATATCGGTGGTTCAGAAAAATCAACAGCTTATTGGGGACGTGTTTAAAGTAACAAATATTCGTATATACAGATAGAGAGACGAAAAAAAAAACAAAGCTATAACAGTGTCTCCTGCTATTAGACCTTGGTTGCTTCTCCGATTTTCTTAGCATACAGGTAAATATTATGAATTTATTCATATTGTAGTGGTTATAAATATATGCTGAAAATTCATAGTTATTTTCAGTTACTGAAACTCTAGAATCAACTTGAAGGTCAAGCTAATTGCAGCAGTCCTTTCACGAAAAACTGATTCATGGCTCTGATCGACCTAACAGCCCACCCAAATATTGCTATGTCCAAAATATTTAAATATCACAAATGTTTACATATTTTAATATGGGTACATGTACATACAAACGCACATATAATAATTCAACGGCGAAACCATTAACCGAGAGTCACAACGATCATTAACTGCAGAAGGTGACGAATGATGATGCCAAAACAAATATTTAATATTTGCACAACTTCAAATGAAGAAACCTTGCCTAAAGTAATCCGAACACAAAGAGCTGGATGAAGAGATTGTCAATGTGTATATGATGAGATCGGTGCTTTTATGAAATGCTACCGGAGTTGCTTTGTTGTTTGCTGCGTGCGACGCGAGTGGTCAAATCAAGACGGTAGCAGGCATCTGCAAGAAATCGAGGCTGTTCACATAGATACAAACATATGTATGAGTATATATTTACTACTGTGCACAGGTAAGTACGCAGGAATTACTTTTACATGTACGGAGTGGCGAAAACTTAAAGAAGGGTGATTTTAACTGAGCTTATGATTTCTGTTTTAGGGAGAAAAGGGTTTTTAACTCCGAGCTTGAAGGATTTTCAATTACGATTTGAGATATCTTTCTGCAATTATTGGATTTCACTTCATTGGATTGGAATCTTTCCTTGTCAGTCAATTTCATGGACGTCAATTATGTTATATTCTGCTCTAACCGGGGTTGAAACCAACATCCAACGTGCTAATCATACATAGATCTCATCCGGTAGTGGCGTTCACTCGTGCTTCCATTACTACTACGCCCCTGTATAATCATACAATCATTCAATGCAAGTATTAACTCTCTTTAAGCTCCACTGTGAGTGTGGGATGATAAACGCTTGGCTGGCCCGTTGACAGCATGATCGCCGGTTTGGCGCTTTGATCATCATTCGGCGACTTGTGGAAGTGTCGACTACTGTTTGACCATCTGACGAGCGCTCAAGGTCTTGCCCAAGCGGAACAATCTCTATATTGGCGGCATCACCGGAAGCCACTTACCTGCTCGTACCACTACTCAATTGTAGTTGTTGGCTTTCAGCGGCCACATCAATGAGCTTTTCTACTAACATTTCTATCGATTCTTAATTTCATTAAACTCACAGTTTGCTCTCTCTTTTTTGAACAGGTGACAATATGGTAGGAAGAGCGTGAAGCTGTTGTTGGCTTTCGCTAGTAACGAGTTTGTGTACACTCGACGGATGTTTATTATTTGATGTGTGTGTGTTTTTATTTTATTTTCATGGTTTAAGATATTTGTTAGTCTTTGGCGAGAGAGCTATTATCATGCCACAGATTCTTCTGGGTTTTAGGGTCACTCGGAGAGGGTTTAATATTTTAGTATATTTATCTGAAGCTTTACATCAACGAATAAGTGATGGAAATGCGATTTTACATTTCGTCGACACGCGAAATTCTATAAGAGTTCATTTATAGAAATGTTCTCTGTATAATATATAAATAACTGGGTAGGCGTTGATTATCACCAAAAATTTTTAACCCATATTCGGCAGTATATTCTTTAATCCGGTTAGTTAGTTTTGAAAATCTCAATAAGAACATCTTTCATTTTTGAAGACGTCTGTTGAGGAATTTCAAAAAAGTTTTTCGTCATAGAGTTATAATCCCAGGCGTCGGACACGTTTAGCAGACTTCTGCGCCAGTTAAGTATTCTCGAAATTTCAGATACCAGATATACATACCTTAAATTCACAACACAAAGAAATAAAAATCTTACTAAGTGTAAATTTCATTTCAATATATGAGTCGTTCACCATTTCTGGACCAAATCTTATAAGACTACTTCAAATGTTCACCTGATCTGCATTAGTGGGGCGACGACTAGTTTTTTTTTCACATTTTCAGCTCACTTTAGGGCAAAACTCTTGCTTTTCTACAAATGTGAAAAATGGTGCTCTCTCAGAAAGGACTCTTTGAGAGATGGTCACTCCTGCTCTTTAAACATAAACACTTTAATGTTGGGTATCTTTGAATCTAGTTAATATTGAAAACGTAAAGGAAGCTTGAGAGAGTTAAGTGAATTGCAGGAAATAGTTAGCATTTGAGCATTGGAGAAGGCAATTTTCTAATACCTCTGAACTAATGAAAATAAGTCGAAGCGAAGAAGCTTACAGGGTATTTTTCTTAATACTCTTCGCACCTTCGAGAATATATTTAATTTATTGATTTCTTGCCTTGAGTTTTTACTTACAAATGTAAGGTAATCTAAATAGTTAGGTGTCCCGTTATGAAATACGCGTTTCTTTGTAAAAATGAAATACTAATTTTGAATGGGAAAGTAAAAAAAAAGTATTATTCAATATGGACCATGGCTTTTTACACATTTTGATCAACTTTCTGGCAATTTGTGGATATCATGCCCAGAAAATGTTCGTCTTTTAAAGCAAACCAATCAGACACCCAATTTTCGACTTCTGCGTAGCAATCGTAGTGCTGCTTAGCCAATGCGTGTTCCAACGATGAAAACAAATAGTAATCGGCAATTAATGCTTTTCGCAAATCATCACTTTTCGGTATAAATTTCGACATTTTCAAAACAATGAAAAAATATGATGCTGTTTGTTCAATTACTGTTATTGAATATGTTTGACAGATGTCATGCTTACCTAACAGCAAAGGAATTAAGGCTCGTTCACAATAAATGTTCCCTATCAGCACATTTTTATCTTAGCGCTCACTTTATACCGGTACACCCGTAAAGTATTTCAACTTAAACTAAGGTCTTAATAAATTCTGTGTGACTTGTTTATAATATATTTGGACAAATCTATTCCTTGTACATATGTATGTATTTAGTAGCTACCGAATTTTCATTTTGACGTTTTTTCTACGCCTATTTTGATTATATGTGTAGCTCACTAGTAGTACGGTAATAAAGTTGTTGTTGCTTATGCTAGTTTATTGCTTGATAAGAACTTTTTCAATTATCAATAGAACTACCATATTAATTATTGGAGTCCATGGTGTAACAATTTCAAAAAATAAATAAACAGAAAAATTTAATAAGGCAATCGAATTACATATATTATTTGCTCCGACATATTGTAGTGTATACATATGTATGCATATGTATATGTAAATACATATACAGTCATGTGTGGACCCAGTAGTAAGTAAGAGAGACGGTTAGGCAAAGCAAGCTTTTAAAACTTGGAAACTCAGTGTACTAAAGATCTAAATTTGTGATCACTATTTTGTATGATGATAAGTGTTAACATAGTTGCCGATATTTGGGCTTCCAAAAATTTTGAAATAATCACTTTGTTATTAAAATATTGATTTCATATCCACTAGTTTTCAGAGTTTGAACTCAAAATTGTAGTATTTGTTCTAAAAAGTTATGTAAGTGGTTATACGTATTGTAAATTTCAAAAAATCGATTATTTTTTGCTTACTATCGAATGTACATCAATGCATATATTTGAAAATATTCTTTGAAAATTTGAAATTGATGACTGAGCAATGGACGTCGCTACTGTCACCGTCACGGCTTGGCAACTGGACTAGTTTCTAGAGCAGGTCTTGGTAGTGCGAGCAGGCGGTGTCTAGGTAAGGCAGCTGTATATATTAATTCTTCTCTTTCACTAGGGGTAGAGGTTCCCTGAAAACAAAACTCAGCATGGAGGTTAATAAGGAAGAAAAGAGGGTAGGATATCAGCTCAAACGTCGGTAGGAGAAGTGGCTGCTACCAACGGCGGACACAACGAGTTTACTTGAAAATCCATGAAAGACTTAGCTACAAGTCCAACTGGTCGATAGAAAGGAGGAGTAAAGATCTGCTAGGGCTACGACAAAAGTGGAGATAAGCTGAGCGTACTATGCGTCGCTTTCGAAATTCACATTCATGGATCCGATATTCGCAAACCGAATCGTGGACGGAATTACAGCCAAAAGGCAGCAGTACGCTGGAAGCGAAACAGCGGGGCCATCCAAACGACCGAGAAAAAAGGACGCTGCTGCAAAGCCAAACATCAGGCTTGATCGAGAGAAACATCCAACGTCCAGGACGCTAGCGATGGCCAGCGAGATAGCTCAGAGGCATTTAATCGTTGCACTTAATGACCGAAGCAACGCCTTTGGGTAAATTACTTAGGAGAAATGAAAAGCGGTAGAGCTGAAACTGTAACTCAATGGCTCAAACATAGCAAGCAGAGAAGTGCCGAATCAAACAAACAACTGGTATAAATTATAACGGTATAATCAGTGAGGTATAGAATAATAATCGGTTTCTTAATGTAATATCCACATATTCTCTCTCTCTCTCTCGAAATTCTCTTATCAAAAGAGAGTATGCTTCCAACATAGTGAGCAGAAGAAGTGGCGTATCGAAGAAGACTAATGCTCTACTGCCTCCCCACTAACTCGATTTACTACAGGGTTTAGTTAACTACAGTTTGTTGTAGTGTATGTGGGCTAGTGTAATAAATAATTATGACAGATAGAGTTATATATTTGTTTCGTTTTATGGCGGGTGGCTAAACTAATTTCAAATATTGACTTTTTCACACAGCAAAGGTTATCGCTGCTTGGAAGAGCTTTATTTTGTTTTTTGTTGTTGGAGGCTCGCCGAAGTTAAGTCCGTAAATAACGGGCTACCAGTATTACGTACAGTCTGTCCAATATGTGCATTACTTACGTTCGTTGGTGTGTGTTTTTATTTTATTTTATGGTGTAATTTTATCGCCACAAGTATGTGGGTGATATGAGCAGTAAAGCTCGGCAATGCGAAGATCAATGTGTATGCGAATGTTGTCAACAATTATAAATGTATTTAAGCACAGTTATTATTCAATTACTACTTACGCTCGCGGCAGCTTTAATTATAGCATACTCATCGCAGAAATTTGCTATCGAAACAGCCATACTTAACACACGGCGCGCCAGCTAAATGCGACAAACGCTTTTCACCTTCCGCGCCGCCCACACAAACACACATACACACACACACACACATAAAGGTGCATAGCTGCACTTAAGATTCACGTTGGTTGCATGATTGCCAATGTGCTCTAACTACTTAAGACTGCACTTAAGTACCTTAACTAAATTGTGTGCTTAATTGTGGTCATATGACAATTAGTTATAAATTAAGTCGCTTGGATTTTCAAGTCGTTACATGTTAATTTTCATAACTTTAAATTGTTGTGTTGGAGTGTTCTAGGTATATATTTGTATATGTATATCCTTATGAAATTCAATAAGCTTAATATATTTATTTATGTGTTTTTATTCAAAATGTCATCACGCTAGTCAAGTGGGTGAGGTGCGTGACTGTCACTCCACATGATGGAGAGTTTTAAATACAGCTGAGCTGCAATCTAAAATTATAGACGCAATTTTTTCGAATAGCGGTTATATAAAAGCATATAAGGTCGAGAGTATTTTAGACGTCAGAAGAGTTCTAATAAAAATCAAAAACCGAAAGCAAGCGTCATACAACTAAAAAAAAGCTCTCAGCGTTTAGGAATAGAAATTTATTTAAACATTTAGACAGCTCTGCAGTAAGCGCATTCTGTTTTATATAATGCTTGAGCGCATAGGTGGTGCACAAAAAGCTTATCAAAGAAACACGGTTATAGAAAACACACTCACTAGTAAAGAAAAAACGAAATGGCTGGCTTCATAGAAATTTATGAGTTTTTCATTATTGTTCCTGAAGTACAAGGCTCCAGATCGGTGAACATTCGATGAACATTTTTGAAGTATTTTGTCGGAGGATATTATTAGAAAACAATTTACTGCGATATTCCGAAGTTGCATTCTTTATTTTCTATGTTTGTGTCTGAACTCTCGTGTGTTATATGTTACAGATACTGACTACAGACTCGCCTCAATTGACACCACTAATCAGATAACTGTTATGTTAAGCATCCTACAGGTTGGTTGATAAGTTTCAGCGCTCGAAATAAAAAATTACTGTTTTTGGTACGAAATATACTTTTTTGTTAAATATAATCGCCCATAACTTCAATACACTTATTCCAATGATCCTCCAATAATTTTATGCCATTCTTATAATGATTTTCCGGAAGCTCTGCAACTACCCGTCGACGCCTGTAAAAGCTTCCTCATTCGACGAAAAACGTTTTCCACGAAGGAATTGTTTCAGGTTTCTGAAGAGATAGTGGTCGCTAAGAGCCAAATCTGGTGAATACGGTGGATGCCCAAGCAATTCGTGCTTTAAATCATTGAAATTTGTCATTGTTAAGATACTTTTGTGAGCAGGTGCATTGTCTTGATGAAAAATTATTTTTTTGTGCTGCAAAATAGGTCTTTTCTCACAAAATTTTTCATCCAGCTGATCCAAAAGGGTGCTATAATATTCAGAGTTAATTGTTTTACCTTTCTGCAGATAATTAATCAACAAAATTTCTTGTGACTTCACCTGCTTTGCAGCTGAACAACCAGTTTTAGTCCATTGTAAACGTTCTTGTTACAATTACGGATCATGGTGGTAGATCCAAGTCTCATCCATAGTTATAACGACGCAAGAAATCGGTTTTATTCTGCTTAAAACGATCCAAATTAAGCTGTGAAATTTGTTTTCGATCCAGTTTTTGTTGAATTGTTAACGTGTGCGGCACTAAATTTCCAAGCAGTTTTTTCACAAGTATTTCTCCATGTAAAATATGAAGTACTCATTTGTCTGACATGCCAATGGCTTTAGTAATTTCACGCTAAGTCAAACTTGGATCTTCACTAACAATATTATGGACTTGCTCAATGATTTCTGGCGTGGTTGCAGTTTTTGGTCATCCTTCGCGTGAGCTGTCTTAAAGCCTAGCACGACCACGTTTAAATTCACCAGCCCAAAATTCAACGCTGTGTTTTGAAGGTATGGACTCCTTATACACTTCTAACAATTGTTCATAAATTTCCTTTTTCCTTTTTCCTGCTTTTAAACCTTTCCAAACAAAGAATCTAATCTATATTAATTTTTGCGCTATATTAATTTTTTTCCATATTAAAAAAATACTCTGACGCATCAACTTCAAATGGCTTGTAAACCAAAAATTCATTGACAGAATGACTTGTAACTTTGCATGTGTTCTCACGACAGATGTACCAACTTGGGGAAAAAAAATTTGCAGCTTGTAGTGCTATTTCTTGGTGAGAGCAGAAACTCGTCAAGCAACCTGTATATATATATTTAAAATCATAAAATATATCAAAATTATAAGAAAATACATGACAACCAGAATCCTCCTCCCAGCTGACAGAACTGTATTAACAGCTTTAAACTTTTTTAGTGGGATCGCAAAAGTTGCCCAAGATGTAAGTGTCATACACTGCTCCACTGTAAATTCTAAGATTCAGTTGCAGAAAAGTCAATACCAAGTTTGAGGTAATATCTGAAACACTGAGCTGAAATATGGACGAGTTAGGTGTCTGAAGTTTTTAGTACCAGGCAACCAAAAATTTTAATGATAATATTAAGAAAAATTGGAAGGCTAATAATGAGAGTTGAAGAGCTTAGGAAGCTCTCTGATAGAAATATCGCACAAGAGAAATAATTAATTAAAATATAATGAGTTGATTAAATCGCTGACATCAACTGAATTGATAACAATTAAGTATAATCCCTATAAATGTGATATACAGTGCAATACCAGCTCAGCTAGTAGAAGTGAAGAGAACAGTGAGAGATATAGATTGAAGCAAAGAGCTCTATTGATTTGTGAATATCATGTGGATAATCAGTTATTTTCACTTGACGTATTTTAATAACATCAGTTCAAATAGTGTATATATTAAAATCCAGCGGCTTTTTTCTAAAAGAAACAATAAAATGAAACAAGATTTAATAAGTGAGTACAATAACTGAGTTATCTGATGATTACTTAGATTTACCATATCATTCGAGACATTTTTAGAAATTCAAATGCTTGTGTCGGTAGTAAGCTAGTAGAGATACTTTCTATCTATAAGGAGCGTTTCAAAAAGAGAGTCCGCTTTAAATGACTCAAAATTAATAATGAATTTGTGAAGATGTTATTTACCGTCAGATCAAATTTGATCCGGACCAAAACCTACTGAAGGCACCGAAGGCCATCCAGTCGAGGTTCATAACAAGTGTATGGATAATTGGATTAAGCGCTAGCATGCTTACCATATATTGATTCAGGAGCCCATTTTGGAGGCGATATTGAAGATTTGTATTAAAATACGTGAAAATTTTGGTATTTGTCAGATGGTATATCCAAATTTGAAAGATTTTGTATTGTATATATATATTTATATTGTATATATTGATTTAGGTATATTCTCTTTCATGCAGCAAACAGGTTATGCCTTAAATGGTTCAACTAAATCATTATTTTCTTTATTGTTTAATATAAGTATGTATTTATATACATAGGTATATATGTATGTATGTGTGTATATGCTGTAAAAATTTTAATGAAGTCATCAGAGTGGAGATTTATTTTGCTAACGCCATTAAATAATTGTTCAAATTCTCGGAATGTTTGTAAATCATTTTAAAATCTTAAATGCAAACAGAAATCAAACTTCACCTCAATTATGCAAATAAGCAGCGCTTAATTGTGCCATTAGCAACTGTTAAGCTACCGTTTAAAGTAAACTGTGCCGACACGGGGCATCCACAGACGACGGCAAGCAGAAGCGGTAATGGCGATGACAGTCAGTGTCGTTGCCTTTCAAGTAGTCGCTTACATACACACACACACACTCACATATATATAAGTGCGATTTTTATTGACATGGGAAACGGTATTGTCAGTTTGATCTTTGCCGGTGTCAGCAACGTCACTGAAGATCAAGCAAATACTTTGATGCACATACAAAAACAGCGGGCCATACATATATACCATACATATTTATGTATATATATATACTTGTATATATATATTCATATTTCGATAGGTTTCAAAATTTGAAATCGATATTTAATACTTTTTAAGTTACAGCCTTTAAAAATTGAGTTTTGGCAGGTCCAAAAAGAACAACCTGTCTATATCTATACATATACCCTTAAATTTGAAACAATTGAAAAACATATTTTTTTAAATTTCCAAAAATTGATTTTTTTAGACTAACGAATTAGTCTTACTTAGAACCTACACCAAATTGTTGAAATTTTCTCACTATCAATAGATCTGAAATATTACTCGCACCTTTCTAAGTAAAATATAAATCAAATTCTGTCATTTATAGATTTATATAGATAAGAGTTGAGAAATTTGTTCCAACCTCTGTGATTTTTATTATTATATTATTAGTTTTTAAAATAATGTACCAAAGCGTATAAGATTAACTACACAAATTAATATTTAAGTGTCTGCCAGACTCTCACTGTTGCCGTAAGTCACTACCTATAAGTGTAGACTTTATCAATTATCTTACAAAAAAGGCTTCTGTCAAGTTTTACACCGTAGAAACTATAAAACCAAAATATAGTTTATTCTATTATAAATGCTATAAAATCTGTTATAAATTCTTCAGAGGTGCGTTTAGACCA